GGGGACCTTCAAGTCCTCAGGCAAAATACCTTTTTTCTTCTTCTCTCGCTCTCTCTCCTTTCTGCAGCTTTAAACCAAACCCACAAATCATTCAGATACTCCAGGACAAAGGGGAGTCTCACTACATGTAGCTGCATTATTTGTTTTAAGGTTTAAAGCAAACAGGTGAAGCAATAAGACAGAGAATAGCCCTTCTTGGGGGCAGAAAAGGGGAAAGAGGAAACAGCAGCCTCTGGTCCTAATAACGGGGCATGATACAGTAGCAAAGATGCCTTGTGAGTTGCTGGTCTCACAGTGGGATCAAAGACGTGACCGCTGATGAACACGGTCCAATATTCTCTCTGCTTTGGGTGAGAAAGGGGGATGACTGAAAAATAAAGGCCGTTGCGATCTAAGAGGAGCCTTCCAAAGCCAAAGTCTTTTCTCGAGTTTAGGAGCTTAATTCTCCATTTGAGAAAGGGGTGGAGAGTGTGTGAACGTGGTGCTATTTTCGCTGCCCAGGAAAAGGATACTGAAAAATAGTCTGTGAGCACATTTGCAAAGAAGCTTTCTTCTTAAACAGTTAGGGTGGAGGGCCACAACTTCCTGGGTTGGTTTTTATCTTTGTTTGTTTGGCCCAAACACAAATTCATGGCAAATTTTTGGTTACTTAACTGACCCCTCTATCTAAAAGTGTGGTGTGTGTGTGTGTGTGTGTGTGTGTGTGTGTGTGTGTGTGTGTGAGAGAGAGAGAGAGAGAGAGAGAGAGAGTTAGTTGCTCATTCTCCCAATCTAAGCACTCTGAAAGTAGCCAGAAACAAGTTGCTGATTAACTGACTGAGGAGGCTGCTGTAGGCACTGCAGTGAGACCCTAACTTGACTATATTCAACACTCATTCAACATTCGCCATGCACCTTCAGGGTGCCCAATCCTGAGGAGATGGAAGTTAGACCAAAAATAAAAGACTTTTAGGCTAGAAAGGACAGGAATGGTATACCCAGCTAGTTAATTAGGGCCCAAGAGCAGACAGCAGTCAATAGCAGAACTTCCTGGAGGAAGTTACTGACTCTCATAAATTTGGGGGAACCTAGAAAGGGTTAACATGCCTCCCTGGAAGAGTTTAGTTCCTTGGAAGAATCTGGGTCAGAGTATTTAGGCAGTTTTTAAAAAGTCGGATGCTGAGCAGAAGCATTTTAAGAAGCCTAAAACGTCTGCAAAGCAGAAAGGAGGGTAACTTCACAGGCTCATCACCTTTCACCAAGAGGATTTCAAACACACAGGAAAACACCACCATTTTCAAAAGCAACAGACAATTTTCTGTCATCATCACTTTTCCATCTCTTTAAAATAACAAAACAAAGTACTATCCCATTGGCCCAGGTTGCAGGTCAACAAAGGAGACATTGTTCATCATTTCTTCAGAACATGATAGGGCACAGCCTGCTCTGCAGAGTTAAGAAAACTCTCTCTCTCTCTCTCTCTCTCTCCTCTCTCTCTCTCTCTCTCAGAGAGGAGCCTGAGGGGCAAGAGTGAGTAAATCAAGCCTGCAATGAGCTAAGATTTGGCTGCAGATTTGAGGGCTGATCTGAAAGGTGGAAATGAGGCTTGGAAGGTAAATATGGTCAACATCACAATGATTCCTTAGACTCTAGGCCACAGCGGGTACATGAAAGGGAAGGCAGGTTTCCACTAAACTTGGATCACTGGACAGTGCGCAGTCAGTGCCCAGGTGAGCTGGTTCTGGGCAGGTGCTTCCGGGAGAGTATCAGCCTACACCTGTCACTGAGGAACCTCCTACTGGCTTGAACCTCCTAACTGGGCTCTCTGCCTTCAAATCCTACAACCCACTCTCCACACTTTGGCCAGAGCCATCTTTGTATAGGAGAACCTTAATGTCCCTTCTCTGCTCAAGAGCATTTTAATGCCTTCCATTGTCTAAAGTTAAGTCCAGAGTCCTTTATCTAAGGGTCTTGTGACATAGCTTCAAGCCTCCTCCTTCAGTCGCTTCTTATACTCCTCCCAGTCACACACCCTGGGGTCCAAATCATTTCCCTGAATGAGGACCGCAAGTTCGACAGCCTATGACTTAAATGCCATGGGTACTTCCATCCTCCCGGCCCCATGACTCACCACATTTCCAATGCCCCTCATCCTATTTTTTAAGATACAAAGCATAGGCCACTTCCTCCAGGAAGCAGTCCAGGATACCCCAACTTATGAGTAATTTAATCATCCTAAACCTCCTCAGCACTTTACTTCTATCTAGACCAGTAGTTCTCAACCTTCCTAATGCCGCGACCCTTTAATACAGTTCCTCATGTTGTGGTGACCCCCAATTTCATTGCTACAAATTGAACATAATTAAAGCATAGTGATTAATCACAACAACAATATGTAATTATATATGTGTTTTCCGATGGTCTTAGGCGGAAAGGGTTGTTTGACCCCCAAAAGGGTCGCGACCCACAGGTTGAGAACCCCTGATCTAGACATATAACTGTCTCTATTGAACCTAGGACATACCAGAGAAATATACTGGGAAATAGACATTAGTTGCCCTTATGAATATAGTATCTCTAGTCTGTGGGCTTCCTGGGGGTAATACCTATCTTAGGCATCCCTGGATCCCCAAATAGACCAATACTGTTGCCCACACATGTGTGCTCTAGTGTTTCTTTTAGGTTCTCCTGATCTCTCCGGCCATCATCTAAGCCCAAAGAAAAAGGAACGGTAGAGGAATGCCTGGTCATCAATCAGAAAATCAGGGTCTGTCTGCCTCCAGAGTGGACTGGAAACTCCTTGTAGGCTGCCACTGTCTCTCTCAACGTGGTAATCCGGGGGATTAACACACTGTCTGGCACAGAGTGGCGTTCCATAATGGAAGGAAGAGGGGGGCTCGCACAAGGTCACCCCGAGTCAGGAATCGCCTCCTCTCAGCCGGGACGAGATCTGGTGAAATCATTTACAACATTATCTCAGTGGGGAGCTGGGAGGAAGGAAGGAATGAAGTGTCTGAGAAATGTGTGCCAGGCCTTCAGCGGCCTCCAAGCCTGGGGAAGGGCGGGGGGAAGGAGGGGCGACATCAAACAAGACGCCTAGGCTGCCCCGAGCCGCC